TTGAAAACAACCCTCAAAGAGTATTTTTTTTAACAGAACTAGACAGCTGGCCATTTCTAATTGGCTTCAGCATCTTGTACTGGCCAAATAGGGCCAGCTGCCCATGTTCTAGAACCCTCTAATTACGCTATCTGAAATTCCTATTTACCACATTTCAAATGACCCCTTTAAGTTACTGCTTCGACTCCTTTACCCCTGACAAATTTCAATTAATGCCAAAAATAGCTAAAACAAATACCACTGAACGAAAAACAAACTGACCTAAACATAATTAGGAAATTAGGCATACTAACCAAATGATTCAGACAACAAAATAGCTAACTACTAATTAAAATTAAACTAAACCATTTAAGAGTTACACTAAGTAGGCATGAATTAAACAAAGTTAATAAACCCTAAAAAAAATTGATTGAACATGACTAAAGATTGAAATAGGGATGACTCTCAAACAAAACAAACAAATTAACGAACTAAAAAGGGTAGGAAATTACTAACTCAAACATGAAAAGAAAAAGAATGGAGAGGACAGTGGTGAGACCTTACCATTTATGAAATAAAAAAATGCAAGACAGCCTGGGATGCTCTACTCCGCGCTAATTGACCAACAAAGGTCCTTTCCTCCAAGGGATCCGGTGTTGCATGGATTTTGACCGGATCTCCTTGGAAGAAAAGACTCATGAGAGTCCAAACCATGAAGAGGGCATCAGAGACAAGCCTTTGAACTCGAACGTTGAGGAAATAGCGAACTCAAGGGCTTTGAACAAACTGACCGCCTCTTAGATTTGGAATTTCGTGATTTTGTGGGGGTTGTTTGGGGGAAATCAGTAAGGAATTTGGGTTTAGGGGAGTATGAAGGTTATAGGGTGTAAATTTGGGTGGGTTTGGAGACCGGCCGCCACCGTGAGACGATTTTCGGTGGGCGGTGGCTAGGGTTTGTGGGTTGAGGTGGAGAGGAGTTAAGGGCGGCTAGGGTTTATTTTCTTCTTTTTTTTGCTTTACTTTTCCTTATTTTCCATTCTCTCTTTTTCCTTTCTTCATTTTCTTTTTATTTATATTTCTAAACTCTAACTTCCAATTCCAAAAGAGGGGTATGAAAGAAAATAAATAAAGCTCAAAAGGGGTAACAAATGATAAAAGTGTTTAGATAGGTGAATAAAATGCCTTCGTCATTCCAATCTTCGAAACATGCCAAATACAAACAACAAAAGTGCAGACAAACCAAAGAAATCATACATAATATCTCTTGATTGCATCAGAATTGACAGCCATATCTACACGTTTGCCTTCTATATCTATTAAATACAAAGCACTCTTGGACAACACTATTGTTATAATGAACGGCCCCTGCCAATTTGGGGCGAACTTACCTTTAGCTTCAGCCTGATGTGAAAGGATACATTTCAACACTTGCTGATCCACTTCAAATTTTCGGGGATGCACCTTCTTGTTGTATGCTCTTGCCATCCTCTTCTGATACAATTGACCATGACATAATGCCGCTAGTCTTTTCTCATCAATCAGACTTAACTGCTCTAATCGGGTTTTGACCCACTCATCATCATCAATTTTGGCTTCAGCAACAATTTGAAAGGATGGAATCTCGACCTTCGCGGGTATAATTGCTTCAGTCCCATATACCAACAAATAAGGGGTTATACCTACTGAAGTGCGAACAATAGTGCGATAACCTAACAAAGCGAAAGGCAACTTTTCATGCCATTGCCTAGAACCTTGCACCATCTTACGATGTATCTTTATATTCTTTTTAGCCGGCTCAACTGCTCTATTTGCCTGGCGGCGATACGAAGTGGAATTTTGATGCACAATCTTGAATTCTTGGCATACCTCTTTCATCAGATGACTGTTGATATTAGCAGCGTTATCTGTGATGATTAGCTTGGGGATTTCGAACTGGCAAATGAGATTTGATTGGACAAAATCCACCACTGCCTTCTTGGTCACAGATTTTAAAGTTACAGCTTCAACCCACTTGGTGAAATAATCAATGGCCACCAGAATAAACCTATGCATGTTCGATGCTGCTGGCTCAATTGGTCCAATGACATCTATGCCCAAGCAACAAAGGGCCAAGGTGTGGACATTGTATGCAACTAAGGTGGTGGAATATGAATCAGATCACCGTGCACCTAGCATTGATGACATTTGCCTACAAAGTTGATGCAATCTCATTCCATGGTGAGCCAATAATACCCTGCTCGAAGAATTTTCTTTGCCAAAACATATCCGCTCATATGCGGCTCGCAAACTATGGAATGAACTTTGGCCATGATGGTCAAAGCTTGATTAACATCTATGCACCTCAGCAACCCAAGATCTAGAGTTCTCTTGTACAAGATTCCCCTGCTCAAGAAAAACCCACTGGCCAAAGTCGAATCATTCTCTTTTGATCACCTGTGGCATGTACCGGATATATCCCCGATTTGATGTACTTCCTGATATCGTGGGACCAAGGTTCACAATAAAGTTCCTCTTCAACCACATTACAATAAGTATGTTGATCACGAACTTGACTATGCAAATGGTCGGCATAAGCCTTATCCGGATGGTGTAAAATTGACGCCAGAGTAGCCAAGGTGTCGACAACCTCATTATGGATCCTAGGAATATGTCTGAACTCTATTGATCTGAATTATTGACAAAGATCATGCAAACATTGTTGATACAGTATGAGCTTCAAATCCTGAGTCTCCTATTCTCCTTGAATCTGGTGCACCAACATATCCGAATCTCCCAAAACCAATACTTCCTGGATTCCTATGTCTACAGCTAACCTCAAATCCAGAATGCATGCCTTGTACTCAACCATGTTGTTGGTACAATAGAAACAAAGTTGGGCTATAACAGGGTAGTGGTGCCCTGTTTCAGAAATGAGCACAGCCCCTATTCCGACACCTTTCATGTTAGCGGCTCCATCAAAGAAAAGTTTCCCTGGCTTTTCATCTGGCTTCACCTTGTCAATATGCATCACCTCTTTATCAGGAAAATAAGTTCTCAATGGCTCATACTCTTCATCCACCGGGTTCTCGGCCAAATGATCGGCCAATGCTTGGGCTTTTATCGCGGTCTGAATCACATAGATGATGTCAAACTCTGTGAGCAAAATCCACCACTTTTCAAGTCTTCATGTGGGCATAGGCTTCTGAAAGATATACTTTAGAGGATCCAGGCGAGAAATGAGGTAAGTAGTGTAGGACGAAAGATAATGCTTTAACTTTTGTGCCACCCAAGTCAGGGCACAACATGTCCTTTCAAGGAGAGTATACTTAACCTCATAGGATGTGAACTTCTTGTTGAGATAATAGATGTCTTTCTCTTTCTTGCCAGTGATATCATGTTGACCCAACACACAACCAAATGAATTATCCAGGACTGTCAAATAGAGAATTAGAGGTCTCCCAGGCTCCGTCGGGACTAACACAGGTGGGTTTAACAGGTACCATTGATCTTATCAAATTCCTCCTAGAACTCATCAGTCCATTTGACCACGGCATCCTTTTTTAGCAACTTAAAGATGGTCTCACAAGTTGTCGTGAGTTGAGAAATAAACCTGCTGATGTAGTTTAAATGCCCGAACAAACTCATAACCTCAGTCTTATTCCTTGGCGGTGGCAATTCTTGGATGGCTTTGATCTTTGACGGATCTAACTCAATACCTCACCGATTGACTATAAACGCTAATAGTTTTCCAGATGGGACACCAAATGCACATTTTGTAGGGTTGAACTTAAGGTTGTACCTGCGGAGCCTCTGGAAAAAATTTGTCAAGTCTCCGACATGGTCGGACTGCTGCTTTGACTTTATGATCACATCATCTACATAAACCTCAATCTCTTTGTGTATCATGTCATGAAATATGGTAGTAAATGCCCTCATTTAAGTTGCCCTAGCATTTTTCAAACCAAATGGCATTACCCGGTAGCAATATGTTCCCCATGGCGTGATGAACGCTGTCTTTTTGGCATCTTTCTCATCCATCAAGATCTGGTGATATCGTGCATAGCAATCAACAAAAGACCCGATCTCATGTTTGGCATAGTTATCAATCAAGATGTGGATATTTGGCAATGGGAAGTTATCCTTTGGACTTGCTTTGTTGATATCGTGGTAATCAACGCACACCCTGGTTTTACCATCCTTTTTTGGTACTGGCACAATATTAGCTAACCAAGTGGGATATCGAGTGACCCAAATGACCTTTGCATCCAACTATTTTGTGATTTCTTCCTTGATCTTCACACTCATGTTAGTCTTGAACTTCCTTAACTTCTACTTGATAGGAGGGAATGACGGATCAGTTGGCAGTTTGTGAACTACCAAGTCAGTACTCAAATTCGGCATGTCATCATATGACCATGCAAAAATATCTTTATATTCAAACAGTGCTTTGATTATGTCTTCCTTGATTTGTGGTTCCAGGTGTACACTTATCTTGGTTTCTCTGATATTATCTGGATCCCCTAAATTGATTGCTTCAGTTTCATTCAAATTAGGCTTGGGTTTCTCTTCAAAATGATTTAATTCTTTACTAATTTCCTCAAATGCCACTTCTTCATCATATTCTATTTCATCATCTCACTCTACTTCTTGGATTATTATTTCAGAGTTAGATTGGCTTTTAAGACTTGACCGAAATTCCTCATGCATGTCATGTCATTGAAACCAGCATAAAAAGAACTGTACAAAGAAAGACAAAATGAAACACTATTAGGAGTAATGGAAAAAGGAAAATTGCATTTCATTGAAAATAAAGGATAGAAGGGTTTGTACATCAAAACAAGTGAAAAATAAAAATTTGGATTACAACCCAAGAATAATCCAGATAACAGAAAGGAAAACAAAGCAAACTACCAAAACTCCTTCTGAGTAGGGAGAGGAATAGCCTTCCAATTGTTAAGCTTCACTTTTGGCCCAATAAACTGCACATCTGCTTTACTGGAACCTTCCCCAATTTCTACCATGTTCACCTCATCAAATAGACTCTAAAACCTTTCAATCAACTCTTCATCAAAGTCAACCACGGGCTTTGGGATTGCTGACACTGGGTGTTTCACGACCCCTGGCTTAACGAAAGACCTGGAGAGGCGTGGGATAGGCTTAGGAAGTAACCATGACTTCTTATTTAACCTTTTAAGCCTCTTCACCTCGTCCCATGTGGGCTTGAATCCTAGACCAAACGTACCCAGATTTTTCCGTAGAGACACTGGCTGCACGATACCTTGTAAAGATGCGCCCAGACCCTTGCCCGACACAAAACCATTCTTCAGCATTTCAGTTGCTAGCATGATGGATGCGGAGGCTAACTTTAGACGTGGAATACACTCCTCCTCCGGAATCTTCTCAACTGACACTGTTTCAAAAGCTTGGTAGACCCAAGGCCCTTTATTATCTCCGACTTCAATAAACGGGGCGCATGTATCATTGTAAGCACATAAGTTCTCGTCACCATGCACGGCGATTTCTTGTCTGTCCCACTCAAACTTTACCATTTGGTGCAGGGAAGACGGAACTGCCTTGGCAACATGTATCCAGGTCCTGACCAACAGAAAATTATAGGAGACGTCCACATCTAGTACCTAGAACTCCATAGTAAATTCAACTGGCCCTATTGTCAGTTCGAGCATGATATCGTCAACAGAATCTTTTCCCTCTCCGTTAAAACCTCGAACACATATGCTCTTCTTGTGGATCCTTTCAGTATCAATTTTCAACTTTTGCAGAGTGGAGAGAGCGCAAATATTTGCACTGGAATCATTATCAACTAGTACCCTCGAGACCGTAGAATCCTCGCATTTCACTGTGAGATAAAAAGCTCGATTGTGTTCTGTACCCTCCAAAGGCAGCTCTTCATCCAAGAAAGCGATCCTATTTGCCTCGAATATCTTGTTGGCAATCTTCTCCAAATAGTTCACTGTGATCTTGTTAGAGACGTGAGCTTCATTCAAAATCTTCATGAGGGCTCGACGGTGCTCGTTTGAATGTATCAACAATGATAGAAGAGAAATTTGAGCGGGTGTCTTCCTCAATTGTTCCATGATGGAGTAATCCTGCACCTTCATTTTCCTCAAGAATTCTTTCGCCTCCTCCACGGTGACTGACTTCTTCACTAGAACTAGATTATCTTTTAGTGACTTAGCTTTCCCTAATTTCTCTAGGGTAAAGTATCTCCCCGAACGAGTCAACCCTCGTGTTTCATTAACTTCCTCTTCCACTTCTTTCCCTTTATAAGTTACTATCACTCGATTGTAATTCCATGGAATAGCCTTGGTGTTATCTATTGGCAGCTGGGTCACAGGTTTAATAATACCAGGGGCAATGCGAGCCCCTTCCATGTTTATAACAGGCTTACTTGCTACCCTCGGCACGACCACTTTTAGCTTTCCTTGCTTTGTTTTAACATCATCTGGGAACCCCTTCACGACTGCCACAGGCAGCTTAACATCGGGCTTGCTTAGCTTGTCTGTCAACCCTTCAACTATCGAAGATGTTGCATTTGTAACTACTAGAGTTTCGACTAAATTACTTTCATTGGCACGGATCATCATTACAGACTTCGGAGGATTTTCGGGCTCCCCATCCTTATACACTATCTCAATCATATGTGTTTTGGCATGGGCTGGCAATGGATTTTGATTGATGTTTAGAGCTTCCGGGCTTTGGACCACGATTTGGTTTGTATCAATAAGCACTTGGATGGTGCTCTTCAAATGCCAACATTTTTCTGTGTAGTGCCCCTGAGCATCAGAACAATATGCACATCTGAGGGAATAATCCAGGTTCTTAGAAGGGGGATTTGGTAATTTTGACTCGATCGGCCTTAGAACGTCCAACTGCCTCAACCTCTGAAATAGATTGGTGTAAGACTCTCCAAGCAGGGTGAAAGTTTGTTTTCATTGTTGCCTTTCCTTTCTGTACTCCGGCATGGGTCGAAAGCTTGGACCAATAGGGTTTCGGTATGTTTGTGGAGGTGGATAGGGATTTTGTTGAGTTGGGGCACGCCATTGCGGGTAAGGAGGGGGTTGAGCATATGACTGTGCGTGGTGGACGTGGTATTGGGGTGGTCTGACTGAATATTGAGGGTCTTGTGGCGGGAAGTAGTGTTGGGGTGGATTATATAGAGCTTGGGTATAGGTTTGAGGTTGGGGTCGAGGCTGGGTGTAATGGTGAGGTGAACCCCTTGGGCCATGCCATGATCCTGAGATGACCATAGCAATATCTTCTTTTTTCTTTTTCCCTAACACGCCCTCGATGCCATTCTAGATTGCTTGTGTAGTTGCTTTCATTGCAAAGTAACTCATGATCTTGCTAGATTTGACTCCTTCCTCTACCATCCCTCCCATCTTCACCACTTTATTGAAAGACTTACCTGTGGCCGAGATCAGATGACCAAAGTAAGTAGGTTCCAAGGCCTGAAGAAAGTACTCCACCATTTCATCTTCCTCTATTTGAGGGTTAACTCGTGCCTCCTATTCTCTCCACCGGAAGCCATACTCCTTGAAACTCTCACTGGGCTTTTTCTCTATCTTATTCAAGGATAGGCGATCTGGGACAATTTCTACGATGTACTAGAAATGCCGAGCGATAGCTTGAGCCAAGTCATCCCAAGTATACCACCTATTGTTGTCTTGGCGGGTGTACCATTCTAACGCTGCACCACTCAAACTTTGACTAAACTATGCAATCAGCAATTCATCTTTCCTACCAGCACCCCTCAATTTGCTGCAAAATCCTCTTAAGTGGGCCGCGGGGTCTTCATGCCCGTCGTACAAGTCAAAATTGGGCATTTTGAACTCGGCAGGTAGCTGTACATCGGGAAACAAGCACAGATCCTTATAAGCCACACTCACTTGGCCTCCTAACCCTTGCATATTCCTCAAAGACTGCTCCAAAATCTTTACCTTCCTAAATATCTCCTCTTGCTCCACGTTTTTGGGTGGCTTCTCAGTTTTGATAGGAATTTCAAAGTGAGGAGTGTAGGAGTAATGATCCGGGACTTTGAAAGTGGGCTCTGGGGCATAGTACTGGTTATCTTGGGCTTGGAATGCCAGCTCACTAGAAGATCGATGGAGGGTAGCTCGCGGAGGGGCTACAAAAATAGGGGTAGCTGGCAGAGCAGGGTATGCGGTTGTTTTGGCTAGGGGAGCCTGGATAGTTTGGTTTGAGGTGTCAGGATAGTGGTGGTAAGGGGTAAAGCCTGGTGCATGCTGAGGGGACAGATCAACAATAGTGGGATCTTGGGATTGAGATAGTGGTGGAATGAAAGTAGGGTTTTCTGTGTAGTTGGCAGGGTATGACGGTGTAGGATACCCCCTAATCCATGCTTGGTACATTTCGTCCATTTGGTGCTTCAGCTTATGTACCTCTTCTTTCAAACCAGACTCAGATTCCTCCATCTCTCTTGGTAGGTCAACAACACTTGCATCTAATTCTTTGCTAGACATGATCGCCTTGTGTTTAGACTTGGTGTTGGGTGGCTTGCCAGAATGGCAAACAAATAGCCACCTTCATGTAATCAATAACAACAGCAAACTTGTTAGTGTTTAAGAGTTTAACAGATAGGCAACCGCACGTTTGGGATGCAATGCACCTGAACAGTTAATTGCTTCTGTTATGTATTTGAATGGTTGCATGCTTCATCTCGACCTTAACTAACTCTTTTCACTTTGTACTTTCTCTTCTCTCTTTTTCTTTTCTTTTTCACTCCTACCTTTATTTAGTCACTATTGATTTTTCCACTTGGTTCTTGTCAGTCCTCTTTTATTTTTGCACTCGCTTTTGTTCTCTCGTTTTGCCATGCTTTCTTTCCACTCAGTTTTTTTTCTTCTCTTTTCATTTTATGGTTATGATCGAATCCTATGGGATGCTACATATCATGACGCTGCATGAATTAGATCATTATGTAGTTCAGGAATAAATGCAAAATAAAATTTTTTAGGTTTTTAATATTTCGTTACATAAAATCTTTTTTGGGTTTTCTATTACAAGGACTCTGACATACAGACTTAGAAAGATAGAACAGACTCTATAAAAAATTGAAATACAGACTCGAAAAGAAAATTAGGAATACATAAGTGCCTCCAATACTACTCCAGGGGCCCGCGGGACATCAGTCGGTCTTGCCGCGGGCCTGCATGCCATATCTTCTTGGAGGCAATATAGGTCGTCCATTATCTGACGGAATAAAATTATCACTGTAGCGAAGAACATGGACCTGGTCATATCCTCGCATTCATTGCACTTCATCACAATATAGTCAACAATTCTTCTAATCCTCTCTCTGATGACGCCTTTCTCTTGGAGCAAGCGTCCAATTTGCTGAGATCTGGCCTCCAAAACCTGTGTGGCCATGTGGTTTTGCTCTTGCAATTGTTGCAAGTCCTCTTCCAGTAGTGACATCATAGCATAACAATCTCTCTTTCTGCTTTGAAGTTCTTTGCTTGTTGGGCCATTTCATTTTCAAGGGTATTCAGCTTTTTCCTCAGGCCCGTGACTCCTTTATCGTGCTTTTCCTTCAGCTGCTGAATGAACCTCCCCCGTTCTTCTACATTCCTGGCCAACTTTGCCTGGGCTTTTGCTAATTCATCCTCGGCCTTTTCCAAGTCAGCCCCATAATCACATACTTTTCATCTAAGGTTGTGGATGAGTTTTTCATCTTTTCTGCTTCTGGCCGAGTTTTGCAGCTGTTATTCTCATCTTCTGGATCTAGGCTCGAAGGGCTTCATTTTCTTGGGCCAGCCTTTTCTTTTCCCCTTCATCCGCAGTGGCTTGCAAACCACTATCAAATTTAAGGTCTCTGATTTGCCCTTCCAGTTTGCTTATGGTAGCCCTATAACCTTTCTCCTTTGCCAACCAATTCCATTGTTCTTGCACTCCATCAATGAACTGTTGTACATGGGGCCTTTTGGCAGGCCGTTCAGGATCTTGATGGACTCGAGCCCTTTTACCATACCAGGCCATGTATCTAGGTTCTACTTTACCTCTGGACAAATCCCGTACTCGAATTTGTGGCTCCAGAAACCAACATTGGTGCCAAATCTGGCAAACCTTTTCTTCTAGGAATGCAGCTTTTGGGCATAGTTCAATAACTTGTTGACTCAATTCTTCATCATGAGGTATAGTTTGGTATCTACCCAGCTGGCGTAAAACCCAATGTGGAGCATACGGCTGAATACTATGAAGACCCATTAATAAAAGAAACCGCACTCTAGCTGATATATAAATAACTTCATTGATCGGGAGCTAACCGAACGTCCACTCAATTCGATTTGCAGAACCCAAATGTGCAAACCATGCCTCAGTACCTTCCGGAAACTCATGATCATCTACCCGATTTTCATATTCTTCAATGCAATTAAGACCAGTCAGACCATAGTTCATGTACCCCGAGCGACGGCAAAGATGTTCTACTATCCAGATTTGCAAAAGCAAGTTGCAACCTTTGAAAAACTCTGCCCCAGCTCGACAAACAGTTAAAGCTCAGTAGATTTCTGCTAAGATCATTGGCATGATAGTGCCATTGGCCGTTTTGATCATGAAGTCAGCCACTCCTGCAAGCCCCAACTCTATATGTCTGCCACTCCTTGGGCAAATCAGAGTGCCTAAAAATGCCACTACGAAAGCGAACCCTCGGCGTGCTTCCCATTTGTCTTTATTACCTTGATGACTTAAAACAATATCTAGAGCCTCAAAACCATGGGGTTCCCTATAACAACGGTATAGGAAGTGAAATGTGTAGAATCCTTCAGCCAAATTTCCATCTTTGACTTCCCGGCTAATACTTAGAAGATCCAAAAACTTGTGAGGGCTTACAGCTCTTGGTGCTACTGGATATCGGCGCCTGAGATTTCTGTTAAGACCAGCATAGCCTGCTATCTCCTCAAGTGTAGGGGTCAACTCAAAATCAGAGAAGTGGAACACATTGTGGGCTGGGTCCGAAAACGGTAACAAAGCTTCAATTATATCAACCCTTGGTTTAATTTTCAACAAACCGGTGAGCCCGCCTAAAACCTTTATCACATCACCCCTAGAGACCTCCCCTAGGTCGTTCCACCATATGTGGAGTCCCAGTGGAATCTCCTCTAAGACTTAAAAAGGTATATTTTCAATAGTGCTCATCCTGCACATTTATTTAAGGCGACTGGTTAAAAAAGTGTGATTTATTTGACACCAAAGGAAAAACTATTATTTTTTTGTCTTTTTTCTTTTTTCAAAATGTAACTCAAAAGCTCAAGGCCACCTTTGCTAGTACGACCCTTCAGCACTTCATAGAGGAATATTTTAGGGTTGTGTTCGCTAAGTGGCCGAAAATTGGAAAAGGGACCCTAGATGGCTATTTTTGCGAAAACGGCCTGTCAAAAACTAAATCACAAGCTTCTGATAAAAAACGAGCAGTTCTAGTAAGAGTCGGGACATTTCTGGCTATTTAGACAAAAATGACATCACCTAACTTTATTTATGACAAAAATGACAACATTTCACATTTTTGGTTATTTTTGCAAAAACGGGGCTGGACCCGATGAGGGTTGCCTACGTATCTCACATCCGGTGAGAATCAAACCCGCGTAGTTCGGTAAGCTTTGACGCACCAGAAAAATATGAAATATTTTGAAATAATTTCCTTCTTCTTTTTCTCTTTTTCTTTTTTTTTCAAAATTTCGACAGAGTTTCGGGATATTTTGAAAATCAAATTTTTTCAAAAACGGGTAATTTTCTCTCTCCTACCTCTATTTGGTTTTTCTCAACTTTTCTTCCCTATTCTAGAAGCCAGTCAACATGCAAGCCGAAACAAATAAATGTACAAGTAACACGTAAAATTCACCAGGATGGTTCTTTTGTATTGGGTACACCTGTCCTAGACGGACCCAACCCCTGTGTTGAGTCCCCAAAGTCAAATGCACGTGATGCAAACAAGTGTTCCTACTAGACATCCAGCATGAGGCTATGTTATTCTAGGATTAAAACCTAGGTGTATTTTTCTAGACCTGGCTTACCCGAGCGGACAACTCGAGCTGGGGGGCAGCGTACCGAGAATACAGAAGCTTTACCGGCTTTGCAACTTGTCCAAACCTCGTTCTAAAATTAGGATATGACTCTAACAGAAAAGAAGTCCTGCGAAGTGCACACTCCTTAGATAATTTAGAAGACTCAGAGAGAAGAGGGGTTTTGTAACAATTTATATACAGTTCAAACAATACAAAAGCGGTAAAAAGTGGCATTTAGCACATTAGGCCAAAATATGTAATAAAAATTAGATAGTAAATAAAAGCCAAAAATAACAGTTATTTTAAGCTCGAATTCTTGAACCCTGAACCAGAGATTCTGGTTCGATCTCCAGCAGAGTCGTCAGAGCGGTCACACCTCCTTTTTCTACCCAAAAGAGTATATGGGAGTTTTTCCAATTAAAGTGACGATAATCGAAACGGGATTATTT